AGTGGGAAATGATTCAGCTGTCTATTTCAACATTTGATGATTTTCCCAGCTGTCTGTTAAACAAATTACTCCATTTTTCAGGCCCACAAAAGTGTAAGTAATGTTCCATCTTTCATGGACCATTGGTTTTGGTAAGCCCGTAAGTATGATCCAGACGTATAGAATGCTCGCATGTCCCTAAGCCCACCAATCCGTCTTCCTTTTTCTCCAGCTATCAGCTCTGCTTTCATTGGCGCCACGGTTGGTGGCTGGGAATAGGCAGATTCGGGTCAGGCCTGGCAGGGACATGGGGTGGTGTTTTATCAAGGTTTGCTGGGTAAACAGTGGCGCTGCATACTGTGGGCTGAAGTGCACAGGCGAGAGGAAAATAGACACAAACATATTTTCCCTTCTTCTAATTTTTCTTCTCAAGTCGCACAAGTGCGTGTAACAGGTGGAATGTTCCACTCGACGTGACAATGGGACACCCGGAGGGCTGGGAGATCTCAGGACAGGTGTGATTTTTCTTCAAGGAGGCCGCAACAAACGAGTTTAACCTAGCAGAACCGACAAATAATACACGTCGGTGGGGCAGAATTAGGGTCCCTTTGAGCGACCATTGTTTGTCTAATCCGAACCCAAACTCGATAAAGCCGCCATTTTATTCCCACTACCAAAACAATCTTGACAAGTTGTAAAGAATATAACGTGACCGGGACAACGCGAGGAAATATTCATGACTCCGAAATCATTAGTTGGAAATAAGTAAAAAAATACTCTCTGTCACAGCCTCCATAGTATTTTGGGTGACAAACCACTACCGTTACCGTCCCAACTCAATGTTACCTAGAAACCACCTGTGTATGAGCTAAAGGGTCTAACTTTCCACCATTGACGAATTTCCCTTCGGACTTTTTATAAAACTGAGGAAAGGTTTAGAATACACAAATAGCAGAGGAATTTATAAACTCCATCGTTCAAGCAGTTCCTTTATGGTAGTAAGTGTTTTTCAACTCTATATAGCATGCTGTAAGGGTAAGTCAAGTGGCAGATGAAATTTCACGAGTGGAGTTTTAAGTTGGTGAAACAGTTCTAGTCCTTTTCTGATCAACAACTTACTTGTATCGGTCTTCAACTCTCTTCTTCTGTTGGATATGCCCCGGCATGATGAATCCGAAAACTTGGCAAACGTAAAAGAGAGCAGCAACCGCAAATCATCCAGAAACATGCACCGGCATAAAGGACACTCGGTTTGTTATGGATTCCACCTGCACGCCATGTTGTTGCCAAGGGCAACGGTGCAGTTCACAGCAATGTCGCTAGCCGTCATCACTGAGCGTCTAGTGTTGCAATATGACTTCAGTGTATAGGCGGCGCTGAGGCACCAGAGAGGAGGTATACATGTGGTCAAAATGGCGGAAGCTATGAGAGCGACAGTCGCAGCACTACTGCATGGAATTGACAGGTAAGTGAGGTTATAATCTCATCCAAAGTAACAAAAAACATACTTAGATGATTGATAGGTGTACTGAGGAACATATTGAATTCTAAGATGGCTGCTGGACAGCCTAAATCGAACCGTATTTTGACCATATGCCAAGGGATTGTCATGCCTACAGGTCTGTGCTGAAAATTATCTGCTACTTCAGGGCTTGCAGCGCGAACAAATTATGATGGTAGGAAATAATCAAGTCGAACTTTCCTTCAATCTGAGGGCCACCCATGTGTGGAGAGAGAACTTTGAATGGTTCAGGTTGTTTAAGTTGTGTACAAATTATGTTTGTGTGAGTGTGTGGGGGGTGGGGGTAGGACTTTCTGAAAAGGTATTCATACAAGCTGTTACCTATCTACCTATCAAGATCATGTTAGAAAAAACAAAATTATAGATCTCCTTAAAATAGCTGTGTTTATTGGTCATTAAACAAGTAAGGTATTGTGCATAGGCTTAAAAAAAGGCTGGTAAGTGCCTTCCAAATTATACTAGTAATTTGCATATACTTTATTAATAACGTTATCATGTAAACGATATAATGAAAAACAGTGATCGTCCGTATATAGTATGAATCCTGTACCTTGTTTCTCTCCTGTACCCCACAGATACAACCCAGAGAACCTGGCCACCCTGGAGCGGTATGTGGACCTGCAGTGTAAGGAGAACACCTACGACCTGGAAGCCAATCTGGCTGTACTTAAACTGTATGTTTGTTCACCCCCACTTCTGCTTATACGTTTCTTGATATGTAGCTTGATGGTTGACCAGTTGTCCTTTCCTACTACATGTGCTAGTATTTGGCTGATGTGGTCACTAGGGTCTAGGTTCAAGTTTATGCAACTACTCTTGCTTGCTTCTTGTCCCCAGGTACCAGTTTAACCCCACGTACTACCAGACAGCTGTGACGGCACAGATCCTGATGAAGGCCCTGACCAACCTGCCTCACTCCGACTTCACACTCTGCAAGTGTCTGGTGGACCAGGTCCATGTATCCTTTTGCTGACAATGTGTGCTAACTGCATCATTACCTCAGTCAGTGTATGGAGGATTTGTTTTCAGAGTGTCTGTTTGCTTGTGTTTCTGTAGTTACTAGTATTTCCAAATGCCAGGCAAGTCAGGGACACTGACAGGAAAGTAGGTCAAAGGTTCTAGAAAAGGTTATGTCAATTTTATGTGTTCAATTTCCTGTTACATGTACTAGGTAGTAGTAGCAATATCCAATCAATCAATCAATCAATCAGTTAACCAGTTAATGAAAAAAAAGTGTGTGCCAGAAAGGACAGCAAAGGGAGTATTACAGCGTGTCACTATAGAAGGTAGGACGAAAGTTGTCTCTGTCAGTTTTACTAGACTCTCTAATCTTCACAGGATATAAACTAGGAGGATGAAAAATATGGCTTAACACGCAGTATATGATCTGTCCCTTGACTTGTGACCTCAGCAAGAAGAGGAGATGATCACCCGTGTGACCTTCCTGGCTGACCTGCTGGAGACGTGTCAGTTCAAGCTCTTCTGGGTAGGCACGGTTTCCTGCTGCTGTGTTTACTATCTTTCATCTACAGTGATGGGCAATGAAGTTCTGTTTTGGAACATTTGAACCCCAAATCCTTTCTACTTGCATCTCTCTCTCTATCCAGTTTAACTTCTTTTTCCCCCAAACTGGGGGCTAGACGTGCTTGCATCAAGTGCAAGTCTTTTTTGAAGCAATGTATATCATCAGGGCTCGAAATTCATTTTTGGGGATAGGTGCACTGGTGCACCCAACCTAAAAATTTAGGTGCACAAAATTTTTTTTTTTGGTGCACCATAGCATTTACCTAATAGTTTGATCTTACTGGTCCTAATAGTTTGATCTTTAATACTGGTCCTCTTCTGAGCTTGAATCTGAAATGGGAGCTAACTTCAACATCTTTAATAATAAGTACTACAACAAAGATTTTATTATATTTCTTTTTTATTATTAGATGCCTAGAATATTCTGCATACTATTATACATTTTGATATGTACATTGTAAAAAGAATGTACATGTACAAAAATATTTGGGTGCACCCACAGAAAAAAATTGGGTACACAGCTCCAATTGGGTGCACTAAGGTGCACATGCACCCAGTATTTCGAGCCCTATCCATGCCCGTAGCCAGGATTTTGAATGGGGGGGTTCTTCCCACTGCTTGAGGGGACCTCGAGCGCCGTAGGCGCGAGGCGAGCGCCGAAGGCGCGAGGTTCCTAGGGGGGTCCGGGGGCATGCTCCCCCGGAAAATTTTGAAAAATGAACCTTCTAAAATGGCATTTCGTGCATTTTCAAGAGGATTTCCAAGAAAAAATCAGAGATAGATTTTTATTCAATGACAAAGGGAGCAGTTTTTCTACATAAAATGTGGACCAAAAAGTGGACCTTTACATAAAATGTGGACCAAAAAGTGGACCTTTACATAAAAAGTGGACCAAAAAGTGGACCTTTGAGCCTTGTGGGGGGGTTCTTCCGAACCCCCCGAACCCCCCCTGGCTACGGGCATGCTATCCTTCTGTGAAAGATCCAGTCATATCTTGAACAAAGTTGTTGTAAGTTTAATCTGTTCAGAGTGTCTGAAGAACCTTGTGTTTTTCCTTCTGCAGAAGGAGATCTCCCTGACACCTGAAGTCATTGAGGGCGTCTCTGGGTTTGAGGACTCGGTCAGGAAATGTAAGCTGACTCTGCTCTGGGAAAGCAGCTGTTTTCCTCCAATTTCTGAGCTTCTATACATGTACATCAAATTGAAGCTTTTAAGCCAAATGTTTAAGTAATGCAGTTTAATTTAAAGTGCTACCTAGTCAGAAAAGACTTTTTGCTATGAATATTATATCTGTACATCACTTTGTCCTGCACTAACCCCAACTGTGGTGGATTGCAGTTATCTGCCATGTTGTCAGCATCACCTACCAGAGGATAGACAAGCAGACTCTGTTGGAACTGCTGGGAGACATAGAAGGTACATATTGTTGACTTTAATAAGCTGTCAACTGAGTAGCAAATTTGTTGTCAATCAGACTTGAGTGAATAATCTAGAGTCAGAATACGAATTAAAGCTGTAAGCTATATTATTTTCCTCCTACACATTGGCATTGTTCTAGATCTCTGTTGGGGTTAAGTACCTATGGTGATGTGCTGTTTAGGTGTAGATGGACTGTATCAAAGTTGTAGATTGTGTTATGTCATAGAGTAATAAGCTCCTAGAGTAAATACATTCCTTGTGGAACAAGTTTGGCTTGCAGAAGTTGGGTGAAGTGGTTCCATAAGTCGTTGTTTTTAGATCACCAGCTGAAGCAGTGGATGAACAAGTACGGCTGGCGGGACGATGGAGAAGGTTTTGTCTTCCTTGCCAACCAGGAGGAGAACGTCAAGACCAAGAACATCGTGGAGAAAATTGACTTCGAGAGTAAGTTCTTCCCACATATCAAGTCAAAGTCCTTCCCACACCAAATAATACCCGGGGGAACATGCCACCCAAATATGTCTTAATAGCCATACAACTTTGTACAATCATTGCAGCAGGGGGCTAGTCGACTGGTAAAATGGTGAGTGTGGGTTCAACTCCCATACATTTTCCTAAATGCTGAGTATACTATGTCAAGAAATTTGTATGTACCAGTTTTAATGTCTTTGGTATGACTCAGCAGGGGATTGAACTCACTTGGCCATTGCACAGGTTGTCTACTTTTAAAATGGTACCAGTGTAATATGGAGATTGACCATTCGAATTGTTTAGTGGAGTCTTATTTAATATGTTGGAAAACAGTAAATTTTCTTCCATATGAGTTACTGAATTTTTTTTGAAAAAAAAAATAACAGCTGCTGAATTTTTTTTGAAAAAAAAAAGCAGCCTTACTGACAAGACTTGTTCCCTTTACCCTATCAGGTGTAGCAGGCATCATGGCAGCCTCCATCCAGCGATGATGATCAACTGTCAGGGATGGGCGTCAAATTCCAGCTATCGTAATATTGTACTTGTAGTAGGATGTCGTACAAAGTAAGACTTCATCAGGATTCAGATTTGTCCTTAGTTCTGACATGACAACTATAGTGAAGTCCTCTCTGTCAAAGCTGGCAAGTGAGAAGACCATCTGTAGTTGACTTGAGTAATATCAGATAGTAGACAATTAAACAGATTCAGGCCAAATGAAGTTCTGTATAGTTTTATTCCCACTTTTTTACTGTTGTTTTACACACAGAGGTGTCATGATTGGCACTACAGACACATGTTATACACACCGGTACATTATCTATATATACATTTTGTTCCCCCAGTCTTTACCTACAACAAAAGAGAATAAATATCTTCACTTCGGCTACAAGTAGATCTGTATAAAATGCTGACTCAAATACCTGCTTCAAAACAACAAACAGATTTATTTGGCAATCTGTTTAAGTATATACAAGATAAACAGGTTTAAATAGTTAAACAAAGTACTAGTACTTGTATGCTAGGTTACTGTTCAGTATGTGACATTTTGTCTCTGGATAGGACAATAATAAAGACACATAACACACCTTTCTAGCAAGCACATTTGTACAAATTCATGAATACTTCCCGACACATACACTTATGTCACTCAGAAAATGTACAGTGTTTGGTCAGTTCTTACTTTCTAATGTCGAAGGATGCAAATTCTAGTCTATCAACGATGCTTTCATTCCTGAATTGTGCATCTGTGATCTTGGACTTGGGGCTTCCTGTCTCTCTCAGCCACTTCTTCCTGGAAACAACATTGGAATATTATCTTACAGAAAAACAGACTTCAAATCATACCATTTTTGCTGGAACATCTAAATTGGAAATGCCATTGTGTAGACATAAAAATTTATAAACCATAACAAATTGAATTGATCCTTCATTATATACTAGTACACTAGTTAAGTTCTACAGAGCCAGACAACTCACATGACTTGCACCTTGCTCTCCTCCCCCTGCACCCGTCCAACCACAGTCTTCAGTGCAGCCTGGCCGGGCCGCACTTTCACCTCGTTCTTCACCCAGCCAACCAGTCCCAGCCGGTCAGCCGTCCTCTTTGTGTTCTAACTCAGAAATATAATACAGTCAAACCCTTACCAATAAACACCTGCATATGGACCACCTGTCTGTTGTGGTGACATTCTAATAGTTGCTTAGATTTTTATTTCCAATCCCACTGATGATTTTATCCGCCTAAGATTTGTTACATGAATGTCAGGACCGATTGCATCACCTTTCCACTTATGCAAGTAAAAAAAATGGTCATTTTCCTACCTTTCTGAAGAATACACCTGAAAGAGAAAGAATCCAATGAATTCAATCGATTGTTGGTTGAAACAGTTTTGTAATGCAAGCATTTGTATTACTAACAACATCATTCTAAATACACAAGTAACACAACTTGACAGATTGACAGTACTTTGCTATTCTACAACTTAGTACAAGGTAATTAACGACAATAAACATTGGACAATATTGTGACCTGATATATAACACATACCAGGGTTGACGGAAAATTAGCAGTTAGAAGCTTCAATCTTTATCGTTTACGATATAGACTTCCCTATGAAAAGACGATTCATTTTGCTGTTGACTGAAAGGGTATACAATATACCCGCATGCTTCTAACCTTGCACTTTCCCAAAAATTTCGTAGTCGACAGACACAAGTCTGCCAGACGCCGCCATGTTTCCCCTCACAACCACCTCCACCGCAGACAAACGCAACGGTTGAATTCATGAAGTATATTTCTAAGACAATGTATCAAAACAATTGTGGTAGTAAATTTTTTGATACAAATGCCGCATTTTGTTTTTAAGACTTGGTTTGGAAGCATCCCAGATGGGTTTCAGTGCCTTGGTAAAATCAATATTACTTTTCAAAATAAACGTTAACGTTTTTGACGTTGAGGTTACTTGAGGTCAACGATTCGAAACAACGTTACGTCATGTAATGATTTAGTTTTTACTTATTGCTCAGATAAAATGGTTCCAAATTATATTGAAATTTATATTGAATAAAGGAGTTCCTATAGATGGTACGATGATGAAGTGCAGGTATTTTAGGTGAATGTTCTTGACCCTAGAAAATCACACACAGATTCTAAAGTTTATTGGAATATTCTATTACCCATGCGGGGGAAGTTGTCAGTTTTGCCTTCGTTTTATCGAAAATTTCTGGGAAAAATACATATCAGCCTAATCGACAAACATGTACATTTGAATACATAGACATGTAGTATTAAATTGTAAGATTTCTCAAACTATTTCATCGTATGTCAATAAATGTATAACTTTTAATTGCTCGGTACAGCTTGGTACTATATTTAGTTCCTTCCATACGTCACCATATGAGTCACTGTAAACCGATCAAATATGGCGGCGCTTCTTTCACGGTGACATTTCAGAAATTTGTAGCTGAGCGATCTGAACGTTTCTTCAGAGTTATGGCGAATCGAGAGAAAGCTCTCGGCTTCTTGCCACAGAAAGAGATAGTCTATAACAAGTTGCTCCCCTATGCGGATTGCTTGGACTCGGAATCCAATGAATTCCTGTCGGAAATCAAGGCGAATTTGGGCCGTGCGGTGGCACTGAGAGAACTGAAGCCGGGCGCGACACACTGGACAACACGGCTTTCCACGTAAGTATGCGATCGGGATGCATATCTTTGTCTTTGTCGACAGAATTTCCTAAATGTAGTATTACCTTACCTTAAATGTAGTATCAGGCTTCGCATTACCATAAATAAATGGGTCCCGTTGGAGCGACAAGTTCGTGTTGCACAAGGCCAGATTGTGGCATGGTGAACTCCGACCGTCAGCAAATAAATCAGATTTTATGGATGGCATCAGGAAAACACAGGTGAAAATCAACTACAGTAATGCTGCAAGTAAGACTGAATTATGTCCAATCAACCGGTTTTTGATTGTGAGTGTTTGCTATGTCATGCATCTCGCACGCCCCCCTCCCCCTTTCTCAGTCCTCATGACGCAGCATGATCGCCATCAGGATTACGTTATGTTTGGAACTGATGACTTGTTTTTGAATGACGCATTGTTTTGTCCATATGGTTCCAATTTTCCCGTTCCTTTGATGACTGGGGAACATGACACCAACTCCAAAATAGATTTTTGTTTTGCTGACAAAATTCCAAGTTCAGCTTCGTATGTTGAACTTTGTTATTCTTATTGTTTGTTTTTTAAGTGTGAACTGGAACAAATCAAGGCCAAATGGCAGCTACGTGTTGTTGATGTTGATTGTATCAGGCTTTTTGACAAGTGGGTGGCCTTGTGGTTTGAGTGGTTGGTGCATCTGGCTTCAATTATAAGCTCAATTTAATTGCCTAATTTGAATTTGCAGTATATACAGGCCTTTTTCATGATGCCATTGTGCTATGTTGCATGCTGTTGCTGTAATATATTATGTCAGTGAAGTGTATGCCGTATGGGATGATTTAAGTTATATTAATAATGATGAAAAAAAATTGAAAGAAAGGTTCTCATTGTAGAATGTTTGTGGCAAAACTGAACATAATCCGGATAACAAAATCTTTGTGTCATTGACATCATGCACATCGTAGCTCATTTGAATCATTATATATTAAATTTCTGACATTGATTATTAGTAGAAAAACAACCCTTAACATAGTGCCATTGTTTTTTGGTGGTACAAATGAATGAATAAGAAATATATGTCCTTAGAATAGATACAAGCTTTTCATATGATGTCACTTGCACCATTTTTTATTACACTGTACAAAACCACCCAACATACTTAACTTGTAATCCGCTTACCTTGTTGCTCTGTACTTCGGTGGTAACAGTGAATGTAGCAAATAGGAACCCATATACACCTACATTTGTACTATACTGTACTATACATGTAGTATATAATCCCAGTGGACCAGTGCACCATAGGTCCAGGTAGACATCAGAAAATTATACCTGCACAGTCAGTGAGTGCCGAGTTTCCCTGCACTTAGGCCCGATTTAGACTAGAAACGCTTAAGGGGTTTTGGCCAGGGAAACGTTTCGGAATGGTTAACCGTTCCCGGTCTAAAGAGGAAAAAACGGTTTGTTAGGGGTTTTCGCGGACCGTTTCCGAAAACCACCTCCATCGTGGTTTTCGACCGTTTCAGAACCCTTCAGCGGGGGGGCCCGAAACACTTTTTGCTAGGTCTAAAGACGAAGGGTTTCTTGAAACGGTAAACCAGGTCACGTGTCATATGCTAATCACATGCTAATAAGCCCGCGCGCGTCCATTTTCTGGTAGATTCACGCCATATTCGATTGTGTCCATTTTCGCCATTTTATATCGTGTATTTCTCGAATTTTCGTCATCCTTTACGTCTGGAGGGATGGCAGAAGGCCAGGGAAGGGTCTGGACCCAAGAAGAGACCCGCTGCTTGATCAGCTTGTGGGCCGATCAAACTATACAATCCCGCTTGGAGACCTCGCGTAATAGGGAGGGCATACAGATGCTTGTGGACGGGCTGGCGGCTGAGGGGTATTTACGCACCCCAAAGCAGGTTCGGGCCAAGTTCAAGGCCCTGAAACACAAGTATCGTAAGGCCAATGAGGCAAACCGTCAAAGGTCATCATAGGTCACTGTGGGTCAGAAACATCCTGCGCCACGGGCGGCCCGAAACGCTTCCGCCTCCGTGTCTAAAGACGAACCGTTTTCTGTGGCGAAACGTTTCGTACCGTTTCGAAACGGTATACTGTTTCTAGTCTAAATCGGGCCTAAGGTGCATATGCCTAGAGTGTCAGCCTTGTTAGCTTTCATCCACTCCCCAAGATCCGCCACCAGGCAACAATTGAGTAGGTGCTAAAAAGGTTTCCATGGTGATTTTTGGAAAACTGGACAGGAACACGGTCATAAACAGCAGCTTGCAAGGAGAAATGGCTCTACACACATCCATGTGAAACTTCCTGCAGCCTGCTCACCCAAGAAAAACAACATGGGTCAGGTGAAAAATATAGTCGCGTCATTGGACTGCTGCTGTTTGAGGTCATCCAATCACATGAGGCCCCACCCAGCTCGCGCAGCTTGAATTTTGCTCATTATTAGATAATGAACCAGCTGTTACGATTGCATGCGGGTTTAGTCT